CTCCTCCTCTTCCTCCTCCTCCTCCTCCTCCTCCTCCTCCTCCTCAGTTCTGGTCCGGTACGTGAAAGCGGACGGGAAGCTGCACACGGCCAACCTGCAGAACTCCCACCTGGCCGACGGGCGGACCCACTCCGTCATGGTGAGGCTGGGCGGGCTGCAGCGCAGCAGCCTGCAGGCGGAGCTCTACGTCGACTGCCGATTGGCCGACACCGCCCAGGGCCTGCCGCCATTGGTCCCTCTGCCCAGGGAGGCGGAGCTTGTGGAGATCCGCCACGGGCAGAAGTCTTACGTCCGCCTGCAGGTCAGAGAGAACCACGTCGTGTTGCTTCAGACAAATAAAGTTTGTAGGTTTGAACATGTGACCTGGATTTAAAACAAAGTGTTAAAAACATTTTAAACATTATTCAGATTTAAATTTATCAAAAAAACTTTATTAAAAATAAAAATCCTGTAAAAATAACCTGAGATGTTTTTAATTCACTCAGAAACTGATTTTTTAAAAATTAACTGTGAGCTTTTAGCTACGGTGCTGACATTTTAGCTATTGTTTAGCAACATTTAGATTTTAGCTACTAATTAGCTTCTTTTTACTTTTAGCTGCAGTGTAGCTAATTTTAGCTTTCGCTGCCACTTTGCTACTTTTAGCTTATCGTTGAGGTTCTGCAACGTTTGCTTTCTTTAACTTTTAGCTGTTCAGCTGCTCGTTTCAGCTTCAGCACCTCAGGTTTTAGCTGGTTACCGTCAGAAACTTCAGCTCTTTGAGGCTTTTCGTTTCAGTGTCTCGTTAACCTGTGAGTCAGGGAGTGACAGACAGGTGTGTGGTTACCATGGTGACCACGGCCGGCCTCTGGCAGCAGCTTTGTTTCCTGTTTCCCTGTTCTCGTGTCTTTGTCCACCAGGGGGCGGTGGACTCCCTCCGCCTGGCTCTGGGGGGCAGCGTGGCTCAAGCTGGAGCTCTGACCGACTGTCCGTTCCAGGGAGACGCGTCGGCCTACAACTCAGGTGAGCTCACCTGGGTGCGCTCAGGTGTCACAAGATGCACTGAGTGATCAGGAAAATTATAAACTCTGAGCTCTGCAAGATGTCACAGAAGCTAAAATGAACAGAACATGAGCTAAAAGCAGCAGAACAAGAGCTAAAAGTAGGAACTTAGTTGCTGAAATGTTTAAAACAATAGCTGAAATGAATAAAGTGGCTGAAATTAGAATAGTTGTAGCTAAAAGTAAAAAACATGCTAAAGCTAAAATAAAAATAAGCTACCGTAAGCAAAAGGAGCTAAATTGTAGCTAGATGCAAAACAACAACTGAAAGCTAAAAGTAGCATAATTGTACTTACAAGTAAATAAGCTAAAGCTAAAATAAACAAAGATGTAATGAGCAAAAGGAGCTAAATTGTAGCTAGATGCAAAACAATAACTGAAAGCTAAAAGTAGGAACTTAGTTGCTAAAATGTTTGAAACAATAGCTGAAATGAATGAAGTGGCTGAAATTAGCATTTCATCCAAAAAGTATATAACAAGCTAAAGCTAAAATAAACAAAGGTACAGCAAGCAAAAGGAGCTAAATTGTAGCTAGATGCAAAATGATAGCTAAAAGCTAAAAGTAGGAACTTAGTTGCTAAAATGTTTAAAACAATAGCTGAAATGAATAAAGTGGCTGAAATTAGAATAGTTGTAGCTAAAAGTAAAAAACATGCTAAAGCTAAAATAAACAAAGGTACAATAAGCAAAATGAGCTAAATTGTAGCTAGATGCAAAACAATGGCTAAAAGCTAAAAGTAGCTAAATTGTAGCTTAACCTCACAGAATGATAGCTAAAATTAATCAGTAGCTAAAGAAGAGACAAGCAGTCAGAATATTCTGTGTTTCTGTGATGAATTTTATTTTATTTTATTTTATTTCATTTAAAGTTTAAAAAACTAAAAGTCACAGCGGCCGTCTCCTGAATGAGCCGAACGTTTTGATACAGAAACAGCTAAAACAGCACAAAGTCTGCAGACCATCAGATCATAACAAAACTGAACTAAATAAATGCTGACTCAGTGTTTTTTATGCTGTGTCATTAAAAATAAACAACTTGTTTGTTTGTTTGTTTGTTTGTTTCAGTGAGCGGGGAGCTCCACTCCATCCTGGGTGAGATTTAGTTTGTTCAGAACCAACGATCGACCCAATCCGATCAGAGGATCCACTGGATCCTGATCCTGAGCTCTGATTGGTCGGTTTGTTTGTTTGATCTGTGGTCAGGTGAGCACACGAAGGCTCTGATTGGTCAGCTCATCATCTTCAACCAGATCCTGGGAGAGCTGCGGCAGGACATCAGAGAACAGGTGAGACAGGAGGACAGGTGGGACAGGAAGACATGGGACAGGAGAACAGGTGAGACAGGAAGACAGGTGGGACAGGAGGACAGGTGGGACAGGAAGACATGGGACAGGAGAACAGGTGAGACAGGAAGACAGGTGAGACAGGAAGACAGGTGAGACAGGAAGACATGGGACAGGAGAACAGGTGGGACAGGAGGACAGGTGGGACAGGAAGACATGGGACAGGAGAACAGGTGAGACAGGAAGACAGGTGAGACAGGAAGACAGGTGAGACAGGAAGACATGGGACAGGAGAACAGGTGGGACAGGAGGACAGGTGAGACAGGA